TGTTCTATTCCATTAACCTGTGGTCATATTGAAGTTTCACCAACGTTCCATAACTTATCTCAATATTGATCCTTAAGAAAGCAGTGCTGTCGATATGGAGCAATTTACTTCATAAAAAATCTTAGTGACGCTATTTCGTTCGTACAACCGATGACAGTACAGCGTTGTTATGAAGACAGTAAGCATGACCCACCTGTAATAATATGAAGCAATGGGCATGTATATTGAACAATCAGTAGTTACAAGATGTAGCAATTAACATTTACGTGTAGTCTGTACCATTTGTAATACTGTACAAAAAACATGCGCCACGCGCTATCATGAACACCAACTTATAACCACGTGCAATAATAAACTATGTGCATGTCCCATATGTAATTATGAACTATAAGTATGTTCTACATGGGAAGGGAAACAATAAGTATGTACATCATGGAAGTATGAACAATTATTATGTACCACGTGCAATAATAAACAATAAGTATGTACCACGTGGAAATGGGATTAATAAATATATGCTAACCATGTAGAACTATGAACAATACAATAAGTACAACGTGCAATGATGAACAATAAGTATGTACAATGTTAAGTAATAAGCATTCAGCTTACACAAAAATATCTGAGAGTTTATGAAATAAATACGACACAACTCTATGTCATACACAAGTTCCAGACAAAACCGTTTGACTATATTTTCTCCTGATATGCATTATTCACCCAAGTATACGTAAAAGTATTCGTATAAAATGTAGGTTCTTTACAGGTTGTGGTGAATTTGTTTCCAACATAGTCAGACTGCAATAAAACTGTGGTCTATATGAGATTTGGCAGCTAGACGCAGTTGTAAAGTAGGTCAATGCATATCGTATCCAACGATGAACCAGGCCTTTATCGGACATGCAATCATTGATGTGAAAATAAGCTATCCAGCTATGACATATACACGTGCAAGGCATGCTGATACCAATGTCTGGCTTCGTTCGAGACGCTAACTTTTTAAGATGCATTGCTGAACACCTGGATTATGTTAGGCATATATAAATGTACGTAATCTGCAATAAATGACCGTTTTATAAGAAAACAGTTTTACACAGTTGAATTTCCTAGAATTATAACAATATGTTTGGTGAGTCACTATAATTAACTATTTATGACAACATATATGTTGCTTACTGTATGTCAGATAACTTATTTGGTTAATGAATCTTAACCCTACTAACGTGCGTGTCCTTAAGAAAGGCGGTGACCTGGATCCCCAGCGTCCTTGTTCCGACAACACAATGTATGTTTGTGTTTCCGGTCGGTAAGGGTCTCTGTCATACTTGCCATCTCGTCTGTGATTGAGTTTGTAGTCTCCATACCGACAGAATCAAATGTAGACGTATTCTTGTCAGATTGTGCTCTTGTGTGTTACTTCCTCATCCTCCGATTCAATCACTCGTGGAGTATGTAGGAATAAACGATATAAGTCGTACTTCCGGTCTGTTTCCGTGAAGAAAGTCATCATACACCGGTTGCAGCACATGAAAGTCATTTCCTTCAGTGTTTCATACAGCAATTCATATACAATGTTAGAACATGTACTATAGATATAAGTGTGCTATACACAAATAAAACATCCCACCTCGGACACAAAAGGGCGTTAATTTTAACTGTAATATCACCAGTGGTCGTGCAGGCTTGTGTATGATAAATAAATATTAACGTTCCCCCATTTATAATTTTGTATTTCCGTTTATTAATGGAGGTGATATAATGTAATTTTTAGAATGTTTTGTTACTTTTCCTTATATTAAGGTATGGTCTCTCCTGCCATGTAACATACTATATTATGTTTTTAATTGGGTTTTTTCGGAAGTAGAAGTGAATGAATTTTCCTTTTACAATAGAAACGCTCAAAACTCCGAATTATTCAGTTCTTGATTTGTTCAGTCATTTTAGTGATTATTTATTATTGCAAAAAATCGAGATTTCTTTACCTTGCTGAGTTGTCTGGATTGATGTTACAAGGATTTGCACTTTAAAAGCATTTATAAATATTAGTGTTTATTTTTTTAAATTGTTCCGACGTATACTTTATTTAATTAACAAACATTTATGATACTTCCTAAAGAGGAACTTAAATGCTATTTAAGGGGAAAACAGAATTCAGTATAATACTACATGAAGACAAAATAATATACTATCACTTCAGGAAAAATAATATAATACCACTTCAGGAAAAATAATATAATAACACTTCAGGAAAAATAATATAATACCACTTCAGGAAAAATGTACAATATCTAAGGAGAAAAAAATATAAAACTTCATAATTTTTATGAAAACCCACATAATATGATACTTTTTAAGAGAAAGCAGTGAACATGTAATTCTAATTGATGAAAAAAAAAATCATATTATCTAGGAAAAAACAACACTAATGCTACTTTGAGAAAACAGTATACTAGAGCTCAAGGAGAAAACTTGATGTTATACCATTAAAAGATAGAAAAAAGAAACATTACTTCAAACACAATACAATACTACTTAAGGAAACATATTACACGGTACTACCTAGGGGGAAACATAGTACACGGTACTACCTAGGGCGAAACAATGATATAGACATAATTGTGAAGACAATGCAATCAATTCATGATTATTTATAAAATACATACCGCTTGTATTGTATAAAACTGATACAATTTTTTATTTATTTCTTGCAGTAATTATTATCATATTAACAAAACTTTGACCCTATGTGCTGTACTTGTATTTATCCAGTTGTGTACGCTATGTGATATGATCAGCGATTCTCTTAACCCCACTTGATACCCCCACAAGTGGAGCGTGATGTCACTGAATAGGAAATGGTGTAGCGATCTACTGATAAGTGTTAGTCTGAAGCCAGCAGATACCACCATGCCTTTTGAGTGTGCCCGCCCCGATAAGGTCACGTTAGAGATACACAACCGACAAAAGGCTGTACACTACTGACTTCAGCCCATCGGGGCTGTAATACGCACCCCTCCCTGGGTTTTTAAACTGCACACCTGTAGAGAAATTACCCGGGGTTTATATGGAGTGGGATGGTGCCTCCCATACCTCATCAGAACTAAGCTACATCATATTCCCAATTATACGTACAAACTTGTGGGGACATTATTACGCGTCCTCTGGGGACTTGGTATCGAGTGACTCCCATTGTCTGACGTCCGATATTTCTGTGTTGTATTTCTTCTTGTTCTGCCATAAATCAGTTGTCCCTGAGATCCTCGCCGAGACGAGATGGTACGGAGATTATTTTTCTCGTCTTGTTATTGTTCAATTTTACAGATATTTCAAAGATTTACCGATCAAGTATGGTGCTTTTTTTCGTCAATAGTCTTCCTAATAAATCAGCCTGCTATCTGTACCACTGGTTTGTACCTGGTTCATCATTGTACACTCCAGCTGATCATTTGTGCTCGCCAAATTCTACATTCGTCCAAGTTACAAGTGGCCGAAACTGAATCTGGTTTGTATCGAGTTTGTTTTTACTATTAACTACGATTTCATAGGTCACCGTGGTGTTTTAATCAGTGGTAATTTCGTGAGAGATAGCGACTACAAATGTCCATTGTAATGGACAGGCCGCCCTGCCGTCTGCCGAGCTAATTCAATGTTATGTCAGGAGGCTGGGTAGTTGTGGTTTCCGGACTTAAAATGACGGGAGTTGAATTCCAGTTGCATTAATAATGTAACACTGTTGTATTTAATAAATAACACAGTAGAGCAGACTGGCGTAGATTGGACTAGTTTTGTCTGTACTAGACCAATGGTGCCGCTATTGAGGTGCTACACACTGACATGTTGCACAAGAAATTACATTTCATTCACCCTGTGTATGAGTTTGAATAGAAGACTGCCAATTGAAATAATTTTGAAATTTTATGAAAATGTTACCACTCCTTGGTATTTTAGCTTTTCATACAGTTTATACATTCGCCTACGGTATCTATTTGTGTGAGTATGTATAGAAGACGCTATGTATAAACATGTATTTATTCTGTTTCATGCATAGAAATGCATCATGGCAAAAAAGATGCACATCAAGTCAAAATGAAACACAATCTTACGAAATTGCATTTTTTTACTTTTTTCTACTTACAATTTTGTTTTTTTTTATATAATTATGCGTGCTGAATAACATACAAGTTTGTTTGCAGGCCACATGCATATTCTCGATCGATTGGTTGTCATGTTTATCTAACTTGTTTAAATCATTAAACTGCTAAAGACACAATGTTTAGAAAATGATCTCATTTTTAACTATATGATAATTTTCTAACGAGAGTACCATACACTGCTAATCATCATAAGTTGGGAGGGGGATCTTTTCCTCCCAAAGCTTCCTCCTAATTTCACGCCATCTTTCTTCCTTTACGACCGGAGGAATGCTTGAATCATGACGTTAGCATGGAAGGTATTGGCGCATAGTATATGACGTATCATACGACGTCATGATAAGAACATTGACCAATGAAATCACATCCAAGTTTTGTATCCACATGTGGATGACATGAAAGGCTTACTTATTCTTTGCAACTATACTGCTTCAGGAGTAGGAAATCTAAAGTGGTCACAAGCTAAATGTTGATAAGGTGTAAATTGTAATTTAGTATGTAAATTATTACTAATATCATAAGTGTTAACACAACAATTACATTAATATCAGTTTAACAGGTTTCTGTTAAAAGGAGAAATGATATAACCAACTACATTCATCGCTATGAAATAACTACATTTTTTGACAAATTTATCCTATTTAAGTAAAAGTGAAGAAAACGAATCAACTTTGGAAATTATAGAAAAAAGCAACCCTGAAATTTGTCAATTACGTTTATAAAGATGAATGTTAAAATCTTCAAAATATTTATTCCCAAAGTAGTATCGATGACACCATTCTGTGTTAAGTAAGAAACAGTGTATGTGTATGAGTCGTGGAAGACAGATAAAAAGAGGACAACAATGACGGGAGTTTACAACACTTTAATCAAGTATAAGCAGTAGGTAGATCGAGTGTCTCGGACACCGGTAGCACAACACAAAACAATACGAGTCATTATTTGCCGATTTATAGCGGAACACAAAACCTCTCTCAGCGGCACATTTCGCCCCTTCCCACACGCCCAGAGTACGAATCTAATTCGAAATATAGGAACTCGTCTATACGCTCTCATACACTACATATACATACTATCTCGCACGTTTTCTCTTCACAACTCTTTCTCACGTTTTATAAATGACATAATATTTCATTTATGACAAAAACCTTTGGTGTCAGCTTTCAGCTTATAAATTGCGTCTAGTAGGTGGCGCTGTCATCAGCAGCTCAACTTGCGCCACCACTCGTTAACAATAGAAACAAGAGGTGGCAACTCTAACCCTATATCCGTTCTAAATATACTGTTTAAGGGAATAGTATTGGAAAAATGAAAAATTCATTCCTCCGAAAAAAATGTATTAGTAATTAAGACATAACTGCAACTGTCAATCTATAAACAGTGGTTTTGAACCAAATAGTACATAATAGACACACAATAAACAGGTACACGGCTTTTGGTGTTTATGCTTTGAGCCGCACAAAATATCATAATAAACATGATTGTGAAGAAAAATGTACATTTTAATATGCTGGAAATTTCTGAAGATCCAAATAAACATACAGATACTGAATCTTTGGATGCAAACGAAAGGATAGATACCACTTTAAAAGATAGTATTTCCACGTATATGATAAACAGTGACACACAACAAGGTTTGGAACCTCCATGGACATGTAAACAATACAATATAAACATAAAGTATGTCTCTACTAATTTCCATTATTAACTCTTGAGCCCCAAAATGTCAATATGTTGAGAAATGAAGTGTTAGAGCTTCAGGGCATCAAATAAATGTTAAAATCCTTTCACAGCTGCCCTCGTACACGGAAGTAGTTTATTTTAGAACCTCTTTTTCAAAGATGTTCTTCATTGCAGTAGAACAAAGGGCACATTCCTGGAATCCGGGTAAAAATAATGCTTTATAATTTCCTAGAAAGATATAACCCGACCATATTAGTCGTCTCAAAAAAAAAATCGTTTATAACGTCGAGAGTGGCCAATGCTATCCTAGGTAACTATGCATTACTAATTTATCCTATAATAATGTTCCAATTGTATTGTATGAACACGCTTTGACTATAATCTCTGTAATTTGGCAGACCAGGGAAGGTGTTCCTTTGTACGACTGCAACATCACTGGAGATAATCTCCGGTATCCTCTGTGTAATACTAGATATGAAGAAGCGTATATCGCGGTGCGTGAGCCCCGGACCCCCGGATGTCCAGCGTTCACTGTGTGACTTATAATAACTTGTCACCGGGGATACACTGGAGCCTCCGCTGCCCTAATCGGTTGAAAATGGATGTGGATGATAAATGTCGTTTGTCTTATAGACAATCTTGAGTAATATAAATGGAATCACATCAGCGTGTGTACGCGGGACTCGGAAGTGTCATTCCGTCACCCCTAGAGTATGTGCGACATAACAACCTTTAACAGACGTCCTCATCACCTGTCCTCACCTCCTCACCGCAAGCAGCACAGGATGGGTACACGTCACTTGGGACAGTGCACGTGGCTATACGTCACGGGGGACAGTGCACGTTTCAAAACGTAACAAAATCTTCAAGATTTTTTTTTAAGAATAACCTTTTGGAAAGACTAGGTGTTGAGTAGTATGGTAGCATTCGGCGGCAGAACTTTCGTTTTGCCTTTTCACTGTAAATGTCATTGTATAGCCATATAGGGCCAGTTGAAGGACCCCCCGCTGAGCAGCATGTCTCGAATAAGAGTTTCGATGGGTGTCTTTCCGACCAGACGAACAAAGAAGAGTTGCTCGATGACTTGGGCGCTGACGGTCCGCAGGGAGGGTAGTCGTAGGAGGAGCTTGCCAAAGCGAGTGGGCTGATTCGGGTATTGGCTGCGAACGTACTCCTCCAGAGCGCACTGCGACTTCTCCTGAATACTCTCCACGTGGTTAGCATCCGTAAGACCACAGGCATCTGTAGTGACAAACAACAGTGTTATGGTAATGACATTATACGATATAAGGAACATCTCCTTAAAGATTGTTCTTCGTTAAATCAATACACAGCAAACAATGGTCCAGATTGACAATTAAGGGCACTGGGGCACGATACGTCCCTCTCTTGTCCTCGTATAACACCATGTGCTGTTTGGGATCGACTCAACATATGTCCTGGTATTCTATTTATTATAAAGGTTCTAATAAGTTGGTATATGTTGACATCCTTTCATATGTTTTGAAAAGCTGTTATTGTTATTTTATTTTCGTTTTTATATATTTATTGTTTTTAATAGTTAGTCCCTTTCTCTTACATTAATTCCTCATTGTGATTTAATGCTAGTTTCCTTTTTAATTATCTCACAATGGCACTTTATTTTCTGACACAAAGTTGTTATATCTTTAGTATGTTTTTTGAACATAAATGTTTTTTTTGTTTTTTTTTGTAAAACGTTGCCCTCTATTGGTATGAACTATAGGACTGCCCCACCCTAACCGCTATTGTGGAAATTTGACACATTTTTGGAATTAAGTTTTATGGAAATATAAGGAAAGTAATATATTACGTGTCTAGATTTTATTACTGTCGTCAGGCGAGATAAATAAAATGTACTTTTACGCGCAAGATACTGGTAATAAAAGTAGCACTAGAATAGAACGGAGTACACAATTTGTTTCCTCATCACACTTTGAAGTACAAGAGGCGACTAACAGAAAGAATTTAGATTATAAATTTTCAATTTGAGTTTTACGGCTGAAATTATTAACATTATTAAAGAATTGACACGCTCAGTTTCACAACGAACGCGTTAGGGCACCCCTAAAACTTTATCATAAATATATCAGCATTAAAATGTATGCACACTTTCGGGGGATATTAGTGATAGCTTGATCGTTAAACAAATATTGGTGTCGTAAATCAACCAACGATGACAATTGATGCCAATACTGCTCCAGTAATTTAATTTGCTGTGGAATAACCGCACAAAAGTACAGCAAACCTTCAAGGTAGAACTGGTAGCGATGCTTTTCAATAACCTGAATTAATATGATAACAGACAACAGCATAAAAACTACTTAACCTTTTGATGTAATACAGTTGTTTTGTTTAACCCGATATTAGATCACACAACAGATTATAGACATTTTATAAGATGATATTGTAAAACAGTTTAGTATAGTGTTTGTTAAAAAATAATCAAATATATATATATATCAGAATACTTAAAATAAGGCCCACTCCATTCAGGTTGATTTGACAGAATAAAATTACATTTGCACTAGTAATGAGGTTGAATTTTAATTAAATCTTGTAATTGTATAATTGCATTTAATTTAAGTGAACAAAATAATTTTAAAATAGGATTTAGTTGTAGAAATTCAAAGTTTTAAAAACAATTGTCGGTATAGATAAAATATTTTGACAATTTTTAAGACTGTAACTCTATGTTTAGAATGTCGTCGTTTTAGTACTTGGTTGTATACAGTTATATATAACAAAGAATGCACACGTCCCACATTGATGATTTCCAATTCAGATTGCAAAGTTTCAATTATCTACTTTAATTACTCAATGTAGTTAAGACATGTATTAATTATTAATAAAAACATTAAACAACGTCCATCATAAATTATTCAGGGAGGACATATGCGTATACTTTGCTGTCACATAGTCAGTAAAAATTGGGTATAATTCCAGCGGACAAATCATATAGAGAATAATCAAAAAAGTATATTTCCAAAGTTCTTCTGCTCTCGCAGACTAATTAAGATGGCGAGATAGGCCTTTGTACACACCTTGCGCTAGTTAGCAATTGTGATCGGCTGACCCGTGACGTGCCTGGCATAGAAGGTGTATAGAGATTAGATCTGACCCCAGGAGGCGTTACATTACTTGGGAGTTAACGAGCTAGAAACATTTCGCAGAAAAAAGAACATACCGCTATTCAATACCCGTGTGGCGTAGACTTGGTATTGAGGCCAGCCTAAGGAACAGATACCAGTTCATGTTGGGAAAAACCAAGGATAAATGCTATAATAATTTGATAGAATATTTTGACAATTTGTTGGTGAATACAATTTATAACTACAATGAATTTTCAAATTTCGCATGTATTTATTTCAAATCATTCATAGGGTATGTTTATAGAACGATCCATTGTATATCTTTTTTATAATATTAATTTCACTATTTTTACCCTTTATGTAGGTTAATATTAATTCGTGGTAAAACATGAAATTAGTATTATAAGTTTTCATACAAGCGTTTTCAAACATTTCATAGGAATGATTAATTTTATGGGTCGGTAAAAATAATGTTTACTTAATATTTGGAATTTAATATGAAAAAATGTTTAAAACTATACATAAAAATGTAAGTCCATGCAGCTAAGTACGTCCAATCTATTTCAAATTCTGAGTACAACAATTAACTATACAACAATGCAAATGAATTTGTTTTCATTGTCTCGATTAATAACAATAAAAATATCAGCATGTATGTATTGATATTAAACATTGAATATATACTTTAGTAGAAAGTGTCTTAAAATAATAGGGAAGAAAAGCAAATAAGTGTGTTGTTTTAAATATAATTTGTACTTGTTATAGAAACATATTTTATAACTTAACACGTGGGTTTATCATTAACCCAATTTTAGGGTACGTCATCAATATTATCAGCTGTATTTACAAGCTAACTATAGATGCTACAAGCGTGAGAACGTTTGTGTTATCTAATCAAGATAACATAAAATTGTTATCCGTATGACTCCATAAGATCCTTTGTTAGATATAAATATGAATTATAATATAAACATATACAAGAGGAATTGGAAAAATCTTGCGAATTCAAATGAAAAGCTTAGATCTGTTATCATATTAGTATTCCATTATCATTATAAATATACAACACACAGACACATAAGATAACATTTCAATCAACACAAGTTTACAACAAGCGACCCTGATGTCGAAAAATAATATTGCTATTGTACCGCTTCGCCCATGAAAACAATTTGTTTTACGATTTTGAGGAATGCAGTAATTATCAAACGTTAGATTTAATAGGATTTTTTTTCTCTCATTACCTTGATGTCAAATACAGCGATAAGTATGAAGTTTAAGGAAGAGGACAAGGCCGGGTTTATGGTGCAAGGTATATATATATATTTAAATAATTCAAGTATGGCAAATGCATGCTGTAGTTGAACATGTTAGCAAATATATATGTACAGTACATATGTGTGTGAGTGTCTAGGTAGGACTAATCTGGTGGTGTGGTAATAGTTATACAGTGTCTAGAGCTGGCTGATAACACTGCAGAATATTGCACAGCTATACCCCTGTAGACGGGACGAATAGCTCATACGTATGTACACCGCCATACCACTCCACTTCACCGCTGCATTTTATAATGTCTCTATGGCGGTTAGACTATTTATATAACACTTTGGTATTTTGTTGTGTCTGTTGCTAATCTAGATCATTACTATACAAATGTACGCCCTTTGGTTTGTTTCTGCTCATACTAAATTTAAAATTTCATTTCTGTTTGCAATGTCTATATTAGTATTTAAATGGCTGTCGTTTTTATTGGGAATATTATTTAAACGACACTAACATATTGAGGATAAGAATATAAAAAAAAATATCCGGTAAAACACAAAACGATAACTATGAATGTTATCATATTTAATTTCTCGATATCAGTGAGTGTAAATATTGTTTAAGAAAATAACAATAATGACAGTAAGTACATTTAATTTCTCGATGTCACTGAATGTAAATATTATTTCTGAGTTTATCAGTATATCATCTTAGTTGCTATGGTGTATCAATGTCTTTTCAATTTGAATTACTTAAACGTATTGTTTCTTATTGATATTGCTAAATTGAATAAATAAATGCTCTTCGATTACATTTGATGATTTGTTAAGTACAATTATTTGTTCAGTGCCAACTCGCATTTCCTTATCCTTAGTAAATGAAAATGTGTTTAGTCGCACGCGGGTAAATAAAACTTTGTATAATCAAATGTATATCGCTACCTGTGAATTGAACAAACCAACCGTAACGGATGATTTGTTTGTATCAGATTGTGTGTGTTCGATACCATGTCAATTTATGTGCACAAATGTTTTGTGTAAACATGCTGTGATGGTTTTTAATAACTAGATTTCCCTAACCGTTCTACATCACGACCAGATGCATCAAATGTATTGACAAATAGTCAAATCAGAAATGGCACCATAAAATACAAATGGCATGATAAAATTTCAATAAATAAATCCGATTGCGAATCACCACCTTGATGATTTTGTAGTTAACATTGTCAATTGACAAGAACAAATCTTTAAGTGGTGATCATGTTTGTAGGGAAATTATTAAGTTTCAGCATTAAATGGACTCGAGTTGATTAGTGTCGAGTTTGATCCGCGGATATTGATTGATAGCCCGAGATCCTGGCGAGCAAGGTTGGCACACCTGACCGAACAAATTAGTATTTATATATTCTCATTTGTCACTGTTCACTTGCCGCTGCAGTGGTATAATCTTTCAGCTGATTTCATATTGAGCTACGTTTACGGTTGTATCCCTCAATGAGATTTGTAACGGTTTATTCCGTGTGTTTTATCAACAAGAATTGATGACTTGATAGAGAGGGAGAAAGTAGGCGTAACTGTATAAAATTTTAACAATGGAAGGCCAACCAAGCAAGGCCGAAGCATTTATCATGCTTCAATGACTAACAAATCTGTCTAAATTTGTTAAATAAAATCCATGTTAATCTATTATGAGGCAAATAAATGTTACATGATTCTATTTAGAGATCAATCTCGATGCTTTATTAACAAAATAACCTTTTTATATTTTCATCGTGATAATATCTGTTTTATTTGATATGATCTAAGCAAAGTGAAACATCAAACAATTATAAAATTGTAAAATGATACATTATCACAGGCGCTGGCTTGTTTTCTGATAGAGAATAGATACAGAGAAAATTGTGATATACGAGGAAAATCATTATAATCTTACTACAATTCTCGTTAAAACAACTTTTAAAATCTATTCCATTTATTCTTCATTTACAAAACTAAATAAATTTGTATTTGGTAGCTAACGTATATTTGTTTTCCTTTTTAATATAAAAGAATATTTAGTTCCTTCAAATATTTACACATGAGAGAAAACATAGCCTTGTTTCAATCACCTCCTTATTTCACTGGAATAATTATTTTATGGTTCTTTCACCAGAAAATGAAAAGAATATGAAAACCAATTGTCACTCTGCTAGTCCTAAACAATGAGTTTAGCGGCAACAAAACTTCTATTAGCTTTAAAATGCAGTACTTGAAAATGCCTAACCTCAGGGTTCTACGGTGGTCCTTCCCTTCTCTGTCATATACAATTAACATGTGGCACTTCAGCCAGAACTTGAACGTTGTCTTTTGACTTTTTATTCGGGGAATATGCCTCACAGATGCATGAGTGCACTGGCATGCCTAACACATACAGGGGGCTAGTATTGGCTTGCCGTGGATTAATGAAGGGTGTCTCTTTCAGCAATGTCATAAGCGGTCACCCTCACGTGACCCCATTCTTTAAAACGTCAGGTTCGCGCCTTTCACCGCTGTATAATGATTTCAGCACCACGCGGGGTATCACCGCGAGATAGAACGACACAGAACGCATACGTAAATGTTACGTTACACTTTTTGTAAAAGGAAAGATATTACATCTAAATCCCTGCATTGTTGAAATCCATACATAGCCAAATTATGACAGAGAATATGAATTGCATAATTTGAAAGAAAACTCCAAAGACAGCGGTCCAAAAACCAGCCCTCCGATGAGATCTGTAAGGGATTTATCTGTGATATTGATTTTTGGTTTTTATTAAAACAGACTTCTGGTGCGTTGTGTTGAGAAATTAACAATTGCGGTCATGTCAGGAAAAATTACTTCTCAACACAACAAAACGATAGCTAGCGAGTAATGGCTCTGGTTTGGCTTTGTCATTAGCCGGGCGGGAGTTTTACCACACTACCTCACTCTGCATATTATCATGCAGCAGAGCAAACGCGTTAAAGTGTTATAACACAAATGTCAAGGTCTTCCAACATTTCCTTAAAGGATACTGCAGTAAAAACCGAGTTACTCTTAAACTTCAAACCACTCCGTCAATTTAACACCAAACACTTCACGAGAAGATTATTAATTTTACTTAAGTTATAAAGTTTTGGAACATTTTTGAAACATGTATTAGGTAGAAACAGGGTGATATCCATACAAGGGACTGATAAGGTGTTAGTTTAACCCCAAAACTACACTCATTGTAATATCAAAAGGGAATATGTTAGGTTTCTCAAAATTAACATTTAAGGCAATTAAGAATTTCCCATTATGCCAAACCATCTGTCACATATTAAAAATGTGGGTTTTTTTGTGATAAAGACGAAATATTTAAATGAATGTTATGTAACCACTTTGATATATTTTCTCTTCATTTACAATTTAGAAAATATCCCATTCTACAAGATATGTTTATAAATTAATCAAAATATATTATTTTTTTCCGTGTTAAACTCTTATTTACTTCTTATATAAAGCTGATCATTGATATTCTCATTAAAAGACCAAAACGTTAGCTGTTAAAGCAACTTAATGCTGCATATTAGACTGCATCTATTATAAGTAATGTTCTATTAACTTATAAGAATAAAAGTGCGAGTTATTCTTATCTAGAAACAACGGTGGTTTGTATTACTGTCATCATTTATGAGTCGGTCATGCATATAATTACTCAGCGTTCTATTTTAATTAATATATAACGTACAATAAAGAATTAAAATTTGTATATAAGAAATAAATTAATGTTTGATTTAATCAACCCTGCGTGACAACATACTTCTAGTATTTAAGTTCTATGTCAGTTTATATAAACTAGATATTTTGGTTATTTTTTGATGAAATGTTTGAA